CCTCTCCCCCCAAAAACCCCCAAATTTCAGTGGCTTAACTCAACGAAAATTTCTTTTTTTTTTTTTTTCAGATGCCACCACTTTTAATGTCGTATACATCAAATTGTAGCAAAAGACAACTACAACATGATGCCCTTTCTTGTTCATGAACAGCACGCACATATATCACAGTAAACCAAGCTTATATTCCACCATCATGTGTGGTTCCCCCATGAGCTTGCTTTGGGATCGATCATTGAGAATATCTTCAAATCCGATAGTCTCATCATTATCCCTCAAAATATCCAATGAAAGGTTTGAGCTACAAACAAATGGAAGATGCTGAACCTGCTGTACCACTTTGAATTCCATTTGTAATTTTAGAGGAGCAAACAGACCTTGGATGTTTCTCAGTGTGGAAAAATTCATTTTATCTTGGTTGAGCTGGAAATTTTTTTCTGATAATTCAAGAGCGTGACTTGGTAACAGTTCATTTTTTCACACATGGAAAACCTTTTCGAAGAAGATCACGTCATTCAACAGGCCCACTTGCTGGAAGTTCAGTCACTGGAATGCTGTCCGTTAGCTGAGATCCAAGTCCTCTGGCATTCATCTTCAGGCTGCTGTGTGAACGGCTGCGGAGTCCGGTTACCATCAGCCTGTGCAGCCGCTCACTAGAAAATTTCTTACTTATTTCACAGTCCAAACAAAGGCACGGGATAAAGGGTGTCAGTGCTTTTGGGTTCTTAGGGGATATAGGCCCTTCTAAAATTGTGGCTCTTTTCTCCTCTAGACCCCCAGAGTCTGCTCCATTCAGCTGGTGAATGGGTAAGAGAAGATCAGGCACAGGAGGATGTTAAGGGACAGCCTTCAAGGGAGACTCATGACTTCCACTCACATCCTGATGGACACAACTTGGTTGCAGGACCACAACTGAATTAACACACAAATGTGAGCCCAACCAGCCTTGTTCAAGGGTCAGTAGCACTTTCCCTGATCAGGTAGGTGCTTGGGAAATGATCATGGCAGGTGGTCCATATCCCAAGTGTAGACCTAGTTTGACCCTAAAACTTCATTTGGGAACAGAAAGGCCCCTCACTGCACAGTAAGAACTTGGTCCGGACAGGTTTCCTGGTTCCCTCCTCACCTCAAATGTCTCTGGAAGCCCTGGTGACAGGGAGGACTTCACATTAGATTGTGATAGACTCTGGTGCTCTTGCCTAACTCTGGCTTTCAGTCCTGAAAGCACCTTCATGTAGCTTGGAGAAGACAGCAAAAGATAATGCGCTACACCTCCATCTCAGAAAAGAATCTGGAAGACATTTCTGTCTGACTTTGGGCCATGTCTTCCTGTCAGTACTTGTAGCTGCCCACAGACAGTTTGAATGTCTGGTCTTCACTGAATTGATCTCCGTGCCCCGACTTCACACTCTTCGTTAGGAGAAAAGAAGCTTGTAGGTAAGTTGGGATGAGGGCAAAGCCACTGGCTATCCATTACCTAGCAAACCCAAGCACTCATAACTGGGAATAACCATACATACAGTTTGCAAAGGCCCACTATCTGGCTAGGAGAAACTTTAGCTTTGGGGCCAACAACCCTGATCATTATGTAGTAAAGTTGATGGGTCTTTATTACCTGAACTAACCATTACTTTAGTACCTGAATTTTCTCTTCTCTCATCTCTCTTCAAGCACATTTATGTTTCTTGTTTCAGCATAATGTTCTGACTGCTTCATACCACTAAACAATTCCTTTTTATCTTCTATGTCCTTGTTCATTTTCTCTAATTCCTAGTTATAGCTGTGCTGTGGAATCTCCATCTCATCTTAACTTAGCAGTAGCTTGCTGACTGCCAGACTATATGAAGGGACCAGAGGGCCAGTGAGATAGCTCAGTGTACTATGTGCCTGCTTAGGCAAACGCAGGGACCAGGGTTCGATCCCTGGCAACACATGCTGCGCCAGCCCTGCTGAGCTGGCGACTCAGTCCTGATGTGGTGGTGTACGCCTATAATCCCAGTGCTGGGGAGGCTGAGAACAAGAGGATTACTATGAGTCTGAGCTGTGTAGTGATACCCTGCACACACACACACACACACACACATACACACACACACACAAAAGAGGGACCAGAAGGCTGCATTCCTCAGCCAGCTACGATGTGTGATCTGCCGTGTTGTGATTCATATAAATCTAAGTTAATTTATATTTTAAGTATGATTGATGTGACTGTGCCTTGACAGCACTAAGTCCATTCTGAGCTCATAACACTAGCTGAGCCAAGCGGCTGGCAATAGTCACCTTGACAACTGTGTGCTGATATGCAAATAGGATAGCTGGATCTTTCTCTTCAACGCTGACATCTGGGTGCTAAGATCATACACCTTCTGGGACTATACATACCAGTGCCTTCAGAGTACTATTTGAGACACATCTTGCTGTGACTTCACCCTGTGTGAGTATTCAGAATGAAAGAGCATCAGATCCTCCACCTAAGAGGATGATCCTTTGCTTCACTGCTGATGACTTGATGGCATTCTTGACCCAGTCAAGTGTCATTTTGGAGGGACTCTTCTTCCAGACCATGGGGACAATTTCTTCTGCAGACACGGGGCGTTTGGTTTGTTACTAGCCCTCATGCTGAAGTGGTTTTCTTTTTCTTTTTCTGTTTTTTGTATTTTAGGGAAGGGTCTCCAGGGTATTCACGGTCTCACTACTAGATCAGACTCTAGTGATCCTCCTGTTTACAGCCTCTCAAGAGCTGGGATTACAGGCGTGTGCCACCCCGCCCAGTCTCAATTGCCATTTCAGCATGCTCCAGGGGCGGAGTGGGCATGGCAGGCCCCAGGGATCGAATCCCCAGCCCATGTGTCTGCTTGCAGGAGCTTTAATCCACTGAACTATTTGGCTGGCCCTTAAAGTGGTTTTCTTTTACTTACTTTGCCTATATTTTCATGTATTCCTTTTTGCTTATTTTTATCATTAAGCTATTGCATACATTTGTACATGAATTAGTTCATGAACTATCTTGGTTGTAATTGGCTTGTCATTTGGTTATAAAAGATTGAGACTGGTCTTCTCAGAGGAGTTTCATCTTTGATGATAAACTGTCACCAGATTTTGCAAACTGGGACACATTTGACAATTTGGCATGACAGTCTCCCTCTGCTCCCCAACTTCTGACCACCTTCTAAAAAGGTAAAAACTAGCATTATAGCCAGGCAAGTTAGGCAGAAGTTAGTAGGCAGCTAGAGAGGCACTAGGGTTAAGGTAGAGTCAGCATAACCAGGCCTGGTAAGATAAACAGGAGCCTGACTGAGATCAACAGTTACTAAGAACCAGACAGACAAGTCCAGAGAGGTAGCAAGCAAGGTGATGGATAACTACTAGGGCAACTTCTCTTCTTATCTATTTGGAAAACTTTTTTTTTTCCTTCTCATTGTTTTTTTAATGAACCATTTAGATACAATAGAAGCCAAAAGGCATCTGTAGATGTATGCTTGCTATGTGCCTTGAATCCTCATAGGTTAATTTCTAGTTTAAGTAACTATGTTTTATCCTAAAAGTTGACCTTGAGTGGTCTAAGCCCTTCTCATTTTTTGGTATAAAAACTCCTGGGCAGATTGTCCCCATGACAACCTACTTGTGAGTCCTTTCCTAAGTATAGGGAGGTATTTCTCTTTTTTTTTTTAATAAACAGCCCTCTTATCTGCCTCTTTGGTCCTCAATTTCTTGTCTTTTTTTTTTTTTTGTACTGGGTATTTAACTCAGGACCTTGTGCTTGCCAGGCAGGTGCTTATTCCATCAAGCTATATCCCCAGCCTTCAGTTTCATTCTTGACTTAATGAGACATGGACTCAGCTTCCTATGTCATTACACCAGTCCTAGTTTCACTTTGTGGAATATGTCTGTGATATTGTAGTGGATTGAATACTGCTCCCCCTGCCCCCCGCCAGTAGTTCATATCTCTTGAACTTCAGAACCATCTTTTTTGGAAAGAGGTTCTTTGCAATTGTTCAAGGACAGGCTGTCCTCAAACTCTAGATCCTTCTCCCTGAGTGCTGGGATTACCAGGATTCACCCCCACATCCAGCTTTAGAATTATATGATTTTTGGTGGGAGTGGCTGTTTGTTTGGTCAAGGTCTTGCTATGCAATTCGGGCTGGCCTTGAACTGACTATGTGGTCTAGGCTGGTCTCAAACTTCCAATCCTTCTCTTACCTCAGCTCCTGAGTGCTAGTATTACAGACGTGCATCGCCAGGACTGGCTGCTTTCTATGAAAATTATTTTCTAACAGATTATTTTGTAATTACATTATAAAAATGCTCACTTTGAGTCCGTATTTCATATAAACAACTACAACTCCATATTGTTATGTTTATAGGCTGCAAAGTGTCCCAGTGATTTGCTACTGATGTTCAGGTTATTATCAAGTTTTTATTATAAAATACTCTGATAAAAATTCTTCTTGTATATATTTTTGTCCATTATCTGATTATATTATGCAAATTTTCCAAAGTTTCTGAGTCAGAGAATTTATACTAGCTGGGCAAGGTAGTGCACACTGGTAATCCCAACACTGAGGGACCCTGAGTGTGGTGGATAGCTAATTGGTGGTCAACTTCTTACACCCAGCTGAATTAAACTAGCATGAAGCTGAGTGTGGGAGGCCCACCTGAGGGTTGTTGCCAGCAGCATAAAGGCAGAACAGGAGAAGCTTCCAGAACGCTGTTAGGGATGCTGTTCCGGGAAGCTGCTGGAGCTGTTGGAAGCTGCTAGTTCTCTTGGGCTGTTCTGCTGGAGGACCTTGTCACGCTGGCTTTCCTAATGAACTTTTTTTTTTTTTTTTTTCAGAAAGTTTTTAGTTTTTAATGAACTTGTAAACAAAAAAGCTCCCATTTCAAAATAAAGACAATCCCAGATCATAGATGTTTACAGTGATTACATATCTAAGCAACATACATACATATTCAGTTGTAAGATGTTAACTAAACTTCTGTGACAAATATGCTTTTTTTTTTTTCAATACCAAGAACATTACAGAGTTAATGTAGAGTCCTAAGGATAATCTAGTAGTCACTAAATTTTTTGTAAGTCTTCACTTTAGATGCTGTTATTTCTAGCACAGGTAAGCAGGCAGTCTTTCATATGCTCAAACACTGGAATCTTTGGTTGCTACCATATCAGCTGGCTTGCAAACAAGAAGCCAACTTTAAAGAATGTTTTAAGTGAACAACTTGCAAACCCCAGGGATGGAAAAACCCTAAGAATGCACAATTGTGAGCATCTACAACCATCACAACTGTGGCTGAAGACTTCATGCCGTTCTTCTGAAATGAGATCTCAAAACAGGATATTTCAAAATAAAAGTTTTAACAAAAAGTTGGCATATGCACAATTTCTCCACCAATTAATCTGTGTGTGTGTGTGTGTGTGTGTGTGTGTGTGTGTGTGTGTGTGAATCATTTAGTTAACTTTTCCACTTGAAAAAAATGCAATAAAAAACCGGACACCATGTTTCACTATCTCAGTTAATATTCACAATTACAGCGGCTACAACTCCAGACAAAGCATCAGCAATGCTGCCCAGAGCCAGTTTATAACTGAAATTAAGTCCTTTACACCAAGTAAATGGTTGTCCACAACCACTGGCTAGTGTACATATGAACTAAAATTTCTAGATTTGGGGAGAAACAAATGCTGCTCCGATCATCTGCTGTGCTTCTTCTGTTCTTCAATTCATGCTTAAAAACCTGTGGGGGTTTGGGCCTGCTGACCCTGCCCACTGGAGGAGGCTGCCTGCTGCGCTGCTTTCTGCTTTAACATTGTCCAATCAAATGTGTAGTCATACTGGTGATTCAAGGTCCTGAAAAGGATGCGAAATAGCTGCCTCGGGTACATGTAATCCGGGGCTTCCTCAAAGCGCAGCCCACTGCAATAGTTTAAGTACATAGCAAATTCTGCAGGAAACCCCTTACATAAAACTTCAACTGGAGTGGACATCTTCTTTTCACTAATCTTTTCATATTTTTGTTTTTTTTTGTTGCAGCCTTGAGTCCTTGCCATGGCAGGCTGGTTCTATTAAAATACATCAAAACATATCCTAATGATTCCATGTCATCTCGACGACTCTGCTCAATACCAAGATGTGCATTGATGCTAGCATATCAGGCAGTGTCAGTGAGGTTTTTATCTTCTCTGTATGGTATGTGTTGTCTTGTCCTGTTGTCTCTGTACTTTTTGGCCAAACCAAAATCAATAAGGAATAACTTATTACAGTGACGCCCAATACCCATTAGGAAGTTATTTGGCTTAATGTCTCTGTGTATAAAATTCTTTGTATGCACATATTCAATTCTACTGATCATCTGGTCAGCTAACATAAGTACAGTTTTCATTGTGAACCTTCTTGAACAGAAATTGAAGAGGTCTTCAAGGCTAGGTCCCAGAAGATCCATGACTAGCACATTATAGTCTTTTTCCTGGCCATACCACCGTATGTGGGGGATGCCGACCCCACCTTGGAGGATCTTATAGAGCTTGCTCTCGTACAGCAACTGGGGATGCCTGGTCTTCTGAGACTCTAGCTTCACCGCCACTTCCTCGCCGTTGGTGATGTTAATTGTCAGGTAAATGTCCCCGAAGGAGCCAGACCCGATCTTCCGCACCAGTTTGTATTTCCCTCCTACAATGAACTCGGCCTTGGAGCCGCTGCTGCTCGCCATCCTGAGAGACAAAGGTGGAGCCCGGGGCCGAGCCCCGACGCCTGAGGGAGGACGGAGGCCTCTGGGGCTCGTCCCCTGAGCTCGGCTGCGAAGGAGCGCGCAGGAACCGGAAAACGGAAGCCCTTCCCGGCGCTAGGGGGCCCAGAACAGGCCTAAGGGAGCCCGAACGCCGTCGCTCAGTCTCACTCTTTATTATTGTTATTTTGGCCAGGCCGCAGTCCGTGAGGCGTTTCTCGTCGTTACTTAGGTTAGGCTCCTTGTTTCTGGGAGGCCACCGCTGCCTCGCTTTCACTGCAGCGTCGCGGGCTGGAATGAGGGCGTGGTGAGTTAGGGCGGCGGTATCGCTGCCACCATTACGCCGGCTCCAGCCCGGGGAGACCCTGTCACTTTGCAGACGCCGCCATCTTGTTACTCGGGCTCCAACCAACACAAAATGCCCCTAGTCCCCGGGAGCCGCTTCTTCACAGCGCAGGGCACTCTGGGAAAGGGCTCCTAATGAACTTTGGAGAAGCTTGGGTCCTTGTCTGAGCATGGATTCCTGGCTCCAGAGGGGAAGAAGGTGCACTGCTCAGTCTCATAAAACTTGTTGCATTGGCTTTCCTGATGGGAATTCAGCTTCCCTCATTGCTGGAGGAGCTCAGGACCTCACTTTTGCTGAGGATGGTTATAGTACTTTTGGGGAGCTCTGATGCTTGCCTTGAGTGTTGCTTCCTTGCTCCAGTTCAGATCCCTCAGCCTGCTAGCCCAGATCCTTCATCCTGCTGGCCTAGACTTCCTAGCTTCCACCAATGACCTTTGGGCCTTTCCAGCACAGATCCATGAAGTGCACCTGCATGGGACTTTGTTGTGGGCTCTATGCCTCCAGCTAGACTGGTGGGAGGCATTGGTATGAGCTCTAGGATTTCAGCTGGATTCGTTAGCATTTAGTGTGTGGATAGATTTCCTGCACTTGTAGTATGTGATTCTTGGGTGATTCATTATAAAAATACCATTACAAAAATGTGTCCTGTACTATATTTTTCACCTTACAAAAACCTTAAACCATGATACTGAGGCAGGAGGACCCAAAATTAGTGCTTGGGCAATTTAATAAGACCTTGTGTGAAAATAAAAAAGGGCTGAAATGTAGCTCAGTGGTAGAGTCCCTGGGCTCAATTCCTAGCGTCCAACATAATACCACCATTGAAAGTTTCTGGGGGAGAATTGTCAATTGATTTCCAGAGAATGGAAGAATTCTGCTCAAAGCTATCTCGGAGTAGAGGGAACCCATTTCACCACGAATCATCCTCTCATTGTGCCCAGATGGGTGTGGGTCTTTTATAGAAAGGAGGAGGTGGAGAGGGCCTCGTGAGACAGTAGACAGCTCTAGGTTTGTTTCGCCCACACGCCCCTCACCTCTTTGGCCGCCCTCTTCCTCTCCCACCCTTCCCTGTGGAAAGGAAACAGTGTCCTGACCAGCAGTATCTGTGCCTTCTGACCCTTCATCTGGGCTGAGGACCGGACGGAATGGAGAGTGGGGTTGCACGCACCTGACGACTGAAGACGTTTGGAGAAGCTGCTTGTCTCATAAGGAAGAATCCCTTTTATGGCCCAGGCTTGGGGATTGAACCCAGGACCTCCTGTGTGCTGGGAGTGTGCTCTACCACGCAGTTAAATTTCCAGGCCTGAAAGCTTCTAACTTTTCAGGTTCCACTTTACCTTGCCAGTCATTGTGCCCACTGCAGGGCCATCCACAGAAGAGGTTCCACCTCTTAAACCCAAGGAAACTTGACCACAGGCCAGTATAAGGGCTCCTGCTTTCTGTATGCTAATGCGGGGTTCCCGAGTTCTGGAGGAAGCACTGCTAGGTGCAAGGGTGGTTGGGTCACAGCCTTTTGTGCAACCAGCTTTAAGGATTGGAGTATCTGGTGTGTTCCTTTTCCGGAGGACTGTATCCAGAGTTCTGCTGAGAGCTTACAAAATTCCTCCTTGGCTCCAACAACTGGTGTGGATCAGCAGGTGCTCCTTAGCTATTTTTTCGGTGAAGTGCAGTCTTATGCAAAATGGGAACTGGGGCTGAACTGGTTTGTTGGCAGCTTCTTTGTCATTTCTCAAGGACAATATACGGAATATAACCTTCATTTGTGAATATGATTCATTCCAAAAAAACATGCTTGTAATCCAAAGTTCTCGTATAGCAAAATGAATTTCTCCATAAGGAATACTAGAAACTCATGATTCATGCCACAGTCCAAAAATATTTATGTAAAAATAACTTCAATACAGTAACAGCATACAAAATAACAAAGAGAATACAAGATATAAAGGAAATAAACAAAGGAACTTGTGCTTACTTTGAAGACCTTCGTGGTTTGTGTGAGGAGGTAAGAGAGGAAGGTTATCATGTAGGATGACTTTCACTAACACGAATGGACTCACTGCTGTCTAATGGCTCAATGCAATCTTTTCTTTTCATGTAACATTAACAAGGAGCATGTCCAGGGCCACATTTGCCTCCTTTGGAGAATTTCATGGAGAAGTGACATTGCATGGTCACGAAACAGATTCAGCACCTGCACTGCTCCAGTCCTACTTGGGTGGAAAAAAACTTTCTACAAAATTTTGCACTGTTTGCCACATGTTATACATCTCCTCATCTCATATGAAGTGAGCGTTCCTCTGCCCTTTTCTCCTCCTCCTCTGCAGGTGAGACCTCCATGACCTCTTGCTGCTGGGCAGAGATCACCCGCAGTCCTGCAATGAGAGACAGGGAAGAACTGCCGGCTCCATTGGTGATCATGTGCTACTTGGCTTCGAGTATCACGCATACTGCAAGACATCACTTGTGATACTGGAAATGTGTGCTCCTCTTGCAGCATAGTTGTAGAGCAAATTGTTCCCAACCCAATGTTTTACTGTATTAATTTTTTAAAAATTTTATTTTAGGGAAGGGTCTACAGGGTGTTCAGGGTCTCACTACTAGATTGGATTCATCGTGATCCACCTGTTTACAGCCTCCCAAGAGCAGGGATTACAGGATTACAGATGTGTGCCACCATGCCCAGTCTCAATCACTGTCTCAGCGGTGGGGCTGGCCTGGGATTGGAATTGAACCCCCAGCCCCTGTGCCTGCTTGCAGGCATTTTAATCCACTGAGCTCTTTGGTTGGTCTTTACTGTATTAATTTTGAATGGTAATAAATAGTCAGTTTTTCTTTTTCTTTTTTTTTCTTTCTGAGAAACATAACTTTTTTTTTTTTTTTTTTTTTAACCGGTTTTTGAACTCAGGCCCTTGTGCTTGCCAGAGAAGTGCTTATTCCACTGAGCCATCTCCCCGGCCCCAACATAACGTGTTAATAGATGAAATAAATTCTCCAGTACATGCAAGGTAAAACCTTGACATGGGGGAAATCACTCTATAGTATAAATTAAAAATAAGTCACACGCCCACAGTAGCTTCCCCTATTTGCAAACCACATAGTAAAGTCATACTCTTTGCACACCAAGTATACTCCTAATTAGAAAAAAAAAGAAAAAAAACATAGAAAAGGTAGCTACATCTATGTCTAAGATGTGAAAACTGATGAAATTTTTCTTTCAATTAAAAATAAAAAACTGAATCCATGACCACCTTCCTGCCCAATTAATTGTCAGTTTAGCCAGTGGACTGCGGTGGGGTAAGGGGTGACACTGAGACCATTATCCACAACCTTCCTCTGCCACTCGGGGTGGTGCAGGTGGGGCACCACTGGTCCTGCCTTTGCAAAGATGCCTCTGGAGCACTGAGCACAAGGCGTGGGACGGGGTTCACCTGTGATTTCTTTGGTATACATGGAGAGGGGCAGAGAGTGTCTTCCCTTAGCCTGGTTTTCTATGTAAAATTAATATAACTTTGCTGTCACTGACATCTATTTTAGTTAGAAAGGATCTTTTTGTGTGTGTGTATGGAACTGGGGATTGAACTCAGGCTCTCGTGCTTGCCAGGCAAGCACTTATTCTACTGAGCTATTTCACCGGCCCCAAGAAAGGATCTTTAAAAAATATTTTACATAATAATATGAAGGTTTTAAAGAGTATCTTTTTGTTTGTTTTTGTTTTTTTCTGTTCCATCCCATTTCTATTTCACAGGGCTTTGTGATCATAGTACCTCCATATTATTTACTACGCTGTGACCTTTAATTTTATTTATTTATTTATTTATTTGGTACTGGGTCTCACTACAAAGCTTGGACTCATAGTGATCCTCCTGTTTTCAGCCTCCCCAGCACTGGAATTACAGGTGCACGCCACCACACTCGGCTTTGGTGGCCAGCTCAGTGCACCTGGGGCCAGTGCAGCATGTGGGACCAGGAATCGAATCCCAGTCTCTATGTTTGCCTAAGCAGTCACTTAGCCCACTGAGCTATCTTGCTGGCTCTTAATTGTTGCTTTGAGGTAAGGTCTTGTTGTTGCAGTTCGGGCTAGCCTTGAACTCATTATTTTGCTCAGGTTTGTCTCAAACTCACAGCAATCCTGCCTCAGCTTCCTGAACGCTGAGATTACAGGCATATGCCATCGCACCCAGCCTATATTATGCAAATGCCTGTTAACCAAGAGCACTACTCTTACAGATATGATGTCTTCTTATAATTCAGAGGTCAGTGTGTCTTCCCCATTCTATGGAAATGTATCTTGTCAAACTTGCAGGATTGCTAAAATGCAATAGGATGAAATAGAATCTGGATTTATTTTCTATAAAGGTGGCAATATTCATTAAAACAAAGAGCTGGGAGCACTGCCAGTAGAGCTCAGTCTGTCCTTATCTTTGAGTGCCTGCCAGGAAAACTTACAGTTGAGAGATGATTATTTGGCAAGCTGACCCAGAACTTCAGCAAGGTGGCTTTCAGGCCTGAAACTGGCATATGCAGAGAGGTGATTTTTTAAATGTGAAAACTGGAAGTATAGAAATGCATTTCTCTTTTGAAAGTATATATTTGGATTGTTTAATTACTGACTATTTCCTATAGATTTTCAATCAGGAAGATCACCCAGCATACTTAAGCATTCTGATCACTAACAAGGTATTTTCTTGGACAGGTTTTCGGAAAGCAAGCAGCACTATGAGACACAGTTTGCTTCTCATGGTACCATGATTTCAACATGCTGCCTCTGCAGCTAATAAATTCATGATGTGCTTTCATTGCGTATGGAGATTCAGGTCTGTCATGGTTTTAGGGTTTACACACAAACTCTAGCACTTCAGACTGCAGCCCCCGGATCTCTGCTGGTACCACAGCTGGGTCACTAGTAGCCCTTTCCTGTGAGGCGATCATGCCCAACAAGCTCCTGAGTGTGCTCAGTTATGCAACTTGAGTGTCACGGAGGGTCTTGGCCATTGACATTTCTTTGGAGAATGCTCAGATGCCTTGGAACAGAAATCTGAATAACTCAAAGCATCATTTTGGGTAGGAATGAAATTATTAAAATATACTTGACAGTGTGTGTTAGTCACTTTCCTGTCACTGGACC